GGAGGGGAGGAAAGAAGGGAAGGAGGGAAGGAAAGAAAGAGATCAATGTTTTTAAAACAGGGGTGGCACAGTGTCCTGTAGTTTTGACTTCTGGTTTGAGACACTATGTGAACATTTTTCTTAATGAAACTGGGATGTGTGAAATGAGGTAAAAGTAGAAACAGAGTAGCTAAAGACAAAAGCAAACTATATTTAATTGGTATTTATCTAACCAAGACAAGATGAAAGAGTATAAAATTCAAAACGAGAATAAATGAAATGGCTTTTTAATGGTTTTGCCCTTCTCATCACATAGACACATATACAGAAAAACAAATCCAGTAATGTTAAATTTTTTACTTTAAAACTCTGAGTAATTTACTAAAGCAGTTCAAAATTCAACTGCCAATAATCCATGCTAATTTTACTTACCCACGTTAGATTTCCAATATACAATGCAATTCTCTTTCCAGTATAAGTATAAACAACGTTTGGTGCTGCTCCTTTGCCCACATCATCACCAACAGTGGGTGGAAGAGTATCCATGTAATCCCGGTCTTCTGGGGCATCGCCATTATTTGCAGATGGAGAGATGACATCATCATACAGATCTATCTGATCATGCCCACCATATTCTGCTTCCTAGATACAGAAATAATGTTCTAGATTATAAAACAGTCAGAATACTAAATAGATTTTCATACAAAGTTATTCAAAAATCTGGTTCACAACAGAAAAAAAGCCCAAAGATGTTATTACAAATCTTTTCTCACTTTATTCAATAGATGTATTCTTGAATGGTGACTTAAAAACCTTCCTTGAAAGTAAAATTCTTAAGTAAAAGTAACAATACCTGAATGCAAATACACAAGTTTCAAAAGAATATTTCCCATAGGATTATCACAAACCAAAACCAGAGGCATTAGAAATCCTCAACACATAACCATATAAAAATGTATAGAAAAACATTAACTTATTTTCTTTAGTATTCAGATCTTATTTATCAATCCTAAGAAGGAGACCAGTTTTATAAGAAAAGCCCTAGGAACGGGGAAAAAAAATATGGGCATGTATATGAGTCAAAATGTCATAATAAATTATCTAGGGAAACAAAAACTACAAATAAAACTATTCAAAGTAGTTTCTTACACTAATTTTATTATTCTCCATCAATAAAGAGCTAAGGCTTACCTGACTTTTTACGAATCTAGCCAAGTAAGTTAGCAAGAGAAAAGTAATACTGTCACCAGCAGAATTAAAGCAATGCTAGTGGCTGTCATTTACATGCCTAAATGATAAGCTAGGGAGAGGAGGAAAACAAATACGTGTGAGCAAGGAAAAACAAAGGAAGCGATTAAATCTGTAAATAAACAAGACAAATGAGATGTACATATTAATTAACAGAACCATTTACTTGCTCAACGCCATTTACTTGCCACTGGTAGTAGGCACTACTAGGCTACAATCCTGAATTCTGTAGCAGAGGAAAAGTTCCATTTTTACCCTTTCCCTCCCTTTTTAAGACTAAGTACTTAAATCAATATCTTCCTCTTATGAGGTATAACATTTGAGATCAAATGAAAAACACAAAAGAATTTATGAAAAACAATTACGAAAGACCTTAATTTGTTCAGATATAACTAGGCATACCTCAAGTTCTCCAGTATATACAATTTACTAAGGAATTGTCATGTAAATGGTATATTAAGAGCTAATAGTTTTAGGGATTATAATACAGCTAATAACCCAGAAAAAGCATTTGGTTACAGATCAACAAAATACTAGAGGCACCAAGGGAATATGGCTATTGTTTCACAAAGTCAGAGTAAGATTTTTTTTTTAAGAGAAAGAAAACGTATAAGGGAAAAAGACTCAAATTTATAGTCATTTCCAGGTAATGTGCATAAATAATAAACTACATCATTTACTTGTCAAAGAATCTTACATACCAATTTTACTTGTTTCAAGGCAGGATGCCTATAAGACTTACTTAATAATGGATCCAAGATACCAAGGTAATACAGAGAACAAAGTAACCTTTAAGCAATAGGCAGAAACTTAGACCAAAAGTCACTGCATAATGCCATTAATTTTTTTGTACAACTCTATCAAAATAATCTAAGAGATGAGCTATTATTAAATACTAACAAGAATACTTAAATTGTACAATTACTGAGAGTAAAAGTTAGAAAAAAGGGAAGGTAAGTTCTATTATGAAGTTTCAGGATAGCTGAAGATTCTGGTGATGTGGCTGCACCAGTGGCTCTCTACATTTACATACAAGGGGAGTGGACACTAAACTTTCTTGCAAACTAGTTGTGCACATCAAGGGAGTTATTAAAAGGGAGTTGTGTTTCCATCCTCAGCAGAGACTAATCACAATATAATCTGAGGAAGTGTCAAAAGAATGCAAGCTTTATTGAAAGCGAGACTTAATTTAAATGTATAGTGTCACACAAAAGTCACTAGTTATAAATATATTAAAGTGCTTACATATAATTGTCTATTAAGTAGATAATTATTTAAGCATTAACTGCTGCTACATTGTGTATTATAATCATTATTTTTGTATGTCCATAAATTCCTACTTTGACATCAACCATATTTTCCATATTCATGATTCTACCAGTATTTAAGAACAGCCATTTTAATCTGGTCATTGGATTGCTTCCAATTGGTTGAAGTAATGCTAATGGAAACCTGGGGTTTAATCTCCACGTGAATTAGTTAGCTTCACACTATGTTCCAAGGTCACAGCCTGCACACTTAGCCCCAACAGTAAATGTCTGAACTTGATAGAAAAAAATTAATGAATCTGAACACATTTGTCACCACTGCTAAAATTGCACCTCAAACCATATTCTAATGGTATCTATAGTCTTTCTTTTTTAGCTTCACTGAAAGTATTACATTCAAAAACAAACAAACAAACACTGAGCTCACACACCTTTAATCCCAGCAGTGTGGGAGGCAGAGGCAGGTGGATCTCTTGAGTCTGCCTGGTAAGTTCCATGCCAGCCAGGGCTATATAGTGAGACCCTATCTCAAACACAAAAAACAAACAAACAAAAACCATATCCAACTGTGTTTCCACTTTAATCAAGTGAAATGTACATATTCTGAAATTATACAAAATGCCTATCACAGATCTTACATGAAAATGAACTGTAGAGGGTTGGAGAGATGGCTCAATGGTTGAAAGCACTGGATGTTTTTGCAGAGGACCTGGGTTTGGTTCCCAGCACCCACATGGTGCTAACAATCATCCATAACTACAGTTCCAAGGGATCCAGTGCCCTCTTATAACTTCCTCTCGGGCACTGCACAACACAGGTGCACTTACATACATGCAGAAAAAACACTCATATACATAAAATAAACAAAATATTTAAATTTTCAAAAAAGCCGGGCATGATGGTACATGCCTTTAATCCCAGCACTCAAGAGGCAGAGGCAGGCAGAGCTTTGTGAATTCAAGGCCAACCTGGTCTTCATAGTGAGTTCCAGGCCAGCTGGAATTCTGAAACTCAACTGAAAAAATAAAAGGTTTCCACTTCGTTAAAGAAAAATAGTCAACAGTGTCAAGCTCTATTATGTGAAAGGTCTTTTCAAACACATTTTAATTTTTTTTTTTTTTTAAGTTCTTTTTGAGACAGGGTCTCCTGTAATCCCAGCTGGCCTGGAACTCACTATGTAGACCAGGCTGGCCTTGAACTCAGAGATCTGCCTCTGCTGGGATCAAAGGTGTGTGTCACCATGCATGGCCCAATGACATTTAAGGACATGAAAATTTCAACAACATCCTTCAAATCATTTCACATACCAAATGTCAGCTAGTCTTACCTACTTTCCTAGGAGGTAATCACAAAGAACACTGTACATTTAACTTCCAGTAAGAACATCTCTTCGGGTTCGTGAAAATATTCGCATTCCGCCCCCAATCCATACCATTCTTAATCACTACAATCATTCTAAATAAAGGTGTGGAAGGTATCAAAAGTCAATCATGAAGCCAGGCGTTGTGGTGCATGCCTTTAATCCCAGCAATGGGGAGGCAGAGGCAAGTGGTTTTCTGTGAGTTCAAGGCCATCTGGGACTACAGGGAGACCCTGTCTCAAAAAGACAAAAAAAAAAGGTCAATCATGGTGGTAAGTCAAGCTTTGGCAATCTTAACACCTGGGAGGCTAAGGTGGGAAGATTGCCCCAAGTTCAAGATCACCCTGACTATAGAGCAAAATCTTACTGTAAATAAAAAAAAAAAGGGGGGTGGGGTGGCGCAGAGACAAGGTATTCTCTCAAGATTTTGTACTATACATTGTTTTCTACAAGATATACAAAATACCTGTTGCCAAGTTAGAGAAAGCACTTAAAGGTATGATGATTAGAAAAATGACCAACATCCTATTTGTTTCCTTAAGGCAATGTTTCTCTGTCTTTTTCATTAGCACTCCCTATAAAGTTTTAATACCACAGATAAAATACATACAATGCATACCATTATTGGGATTACCTCGATAGAACTACTGAAGTATTTTTCATTTTTCCTGATAGGCCCAACACTTTTTGGCATTCCTAAAATCAAAGTTAATAACGTTCATGCATTACTGGATACTATCAGTAAAAAACAGCACCTGTTCTAAAACCCCTCTACTGAAAAAGATCATTTCCATTTAAAGAGCTATTAAAGTGGGGGGGGTTGGGTATATTTTGCATTAAAAATGTATTCTACACTATGGAAGAGAAAACCTAGCACATAAAATCCAGTAACAAGAAACTGGTTCCAGCACATCATACCCCCAACCCATGTGAGGAATAACAAAATCTACAGATGCTTAAACCTTTTATATAAGATGGTGTATTTGCATAGAAACTACACAATCCTCTTACATACTTTATCTCTAGATTTCTTTAAACACCTAATAAAACATAAATGCTTATATATAGTGGTTATGGTGTTATTGGTTTAGGGAATAATAACAAGAAAAAAGTTCATACAGATGCAATTTCACCCACCCCCAAAATTTTAGATTCCTATTTGCTTGAATTCATGGATAAAGAATCTACGGATTTATTTTTTCAGAGAAGGGCATCACTTTATGAATGTTTTAAATGTATTAATTTTGCAACTGTTATCAAGGTTAGATAGCAGAAAGGAAGCCAAATCAATGTTAAACATATGCCACATAATTCAGAGTACACAATTAACAGGAAGCTAAATTAGCTATGTTCATAAGTAATAAACTAGAGCGAAAAATGCTTTAGCTCCTCTTAATCATTTCTATCCCTGCTTCTGCATCAATCTGTACCTACCTAATTCTGGATCCCATAGACTTATTTTTCAAATTAAGAGTATATGTGTGTGGTAAGTGCCCAGTGTTGAGTGCAAGCCTCCATGGAGTCCCCAAGAGGGTGTTGGAGCCCCTGGGGCTGGAATTATAGTAGCTGTAAGCTACCCAACATGGGTGCTGGGAACCAAACTCAGGTCCTCTGCAAGAACAGAAAACATAGGTCATATCTTAACCACTGAACCATCTATCTCTCCAGCCCCTATAGACTTACCTTAAAACTATTTTCATTACACAAACTTATCGGAAATAAGGTTTCACTGGTATTTGTCCAATACACTTACTTTTCCATAACTGGCTAACAGCTGCTTACAGTAAATATATAACTAAATATAAAGCGAAATGATTCATGAAATAAAAGTTGACTTATATGCACATCTAGATCCTTAATTCCTAAATGAAATTTTCTTCCAGCCACTCCCTCTATGCATTTTTAGAGTTAGGTGAGTAGATAAACTAAATCAGTTTTGCTGTCTATCAATTATCCACTGTCTGGCAGATCAGAAACTAAATTCTACATTAAGAGCTCCTGACCCATAAACAAACAAAATAATACATTACTTGGATGTATAAATTATAAATTGAGCATCCCTAATTAAAAAAAAAAAACTGCAAAGCTTTTTGAGCACCAACATGATACTCAAGAAGTTTTGGATTATGGAACATTTCTGATTTCAGAGTAGGGATGTTCAGGAGATAAAAGCATATACAAAAGTCCCCAAATCTAACAAAACAAAACACCAAAATCTGAAACACTTCTGGTTCCAGGTATTTCCGATAAGGGAAACCTTGCCTAAGTTTTCCTGAAAATTCATCAAATTTTTCTTAAGCATTACTCTTACCTTGCAAACTGCAGATATAAAGAATATATAAAATATAGGACATGTCAGTGTTATAATTATGTAGGTCTCATCCTGGCTCACTACAGTATACTTACAAAAGTTGAGACCATCTAAACTTTATATCCAATATTATCTTGAACCACTGAATATTTTAAATGATTAATTATGTAGTCTGGCCAAAATGATCTGGAAATTACTAATTAGGATGGAAACTACTATATTTGAATATACATTCCAGTTCAAAGTAAACTGATACTTAAGAACTGCTTTCAGCTTAACTCTGAAGTCAGTTAATATACAGATTCAGAAGTAGTTCAAATTCTCCTTCCATTAAATAACTATTCTCAATTTGCCAACATCCAAAAACTTCTAAGAACTAAGTTCCTGTGCTTTCCAGTCTTCATTCTTAAAATCACCTAGTAAAGAAAGCAACAGTACTAGTTTCACTTAGTCTCAGCCCACCCTCAAAGTTTAATACTATGGAATGCCTCACTTTTTGCAATACTGTGCTTTATCAAAATGCAAAAAAAGCTTCATAAGGGTCTCTGTGAGTTCAACACCAGCCTGATCTACAAAGTGAGTTCTAGGCCAGCTGGGGCTACAGGGAGACGCTGTCTCATAAAGACAGGAAAAACAAAACAAAACAAAAAAACACCATTTTAAGGACACCATGCCTGCAGAGACAGAGGCAGAGGCAGAGGCAGAGGCAGAGGCAGAGGCAGGTGGATCTCTGAGTTAAAGGCCAGCCTGGTCTACCTAGTGAGTTCCAGGCCCATTGGGGCTAAAGCGAGACCCTGTCTCAAAAAGATATGTGTGTGTGTGTGTGTGTGTGTGTGTGTGTATTAACCATTTTAAATAGAAAATGTAAAATATAGCTACACAGAACTTCAAAGTATATGTAGTACAATTAAAACTGCAGTTTACAATGGAGAGCTAAACATTTTTTAAACATTTATAGGTGTTTGCAATCTAGATTATTTAAAATTCACTAGTTTTTACTCAACTACAATAAAATAATCACCACAGTTTACTCTAGCAGCTAGTAGAAATAAAGTTACCACCTAGCAAGTGAGAATAGATTAACACTGAAATGTAGCTGGGTAGTATAGAGTTTGCCTAACATGTGGAAGTCCCTGAGTTCCATCCTGACACAAAAGGAAATGAGCCGGGTAGGCTGCACAGGCCTGCCTGTAACCCCAGCATTAGGGAGGTAGTGGCAACAGGAGCACCACAAACTGGAGGCCAGTCCAGAAGACATAGCAGATTCTAGGTCAACCAGAGCTACAATAGAGAGAGGAAAAAAAAAAAGACCCGAGAGACGGATATGTTAAATCAACAAATAATTCTGTGGTTGCTCTAATTCTGGTAGGATTTCAGAAAAAAATATTTCAATGATAGTAAATTTTTGGAAAACAGGACAAATTTTGAGTAACAATTGTTTTGTGGCCATTTTTTGTTCGGGATATCAGAGCAAGCAGATCACAGATGACAACTATACACAAACTAAAACAAGTAAATGCCTCTGGAGTGGAGATGTAGCTCAGTGGTCCAGTGCCTACCTAAATGTGCAAGGTCCTTGGTTTAATCCATGGCGCTGCAAACGTTTTGGAAAATGCCTCTGTTTAATCTTCCAATTAATATATTTAAACCTATAAAGATTTTAATGGTAAAATTACACAACTGTGTGTTAGATATAATGCTATAAGTTCAAGTCAATGAAAAGATACATTGGAGGAGGCTGGTGAGATGGCTCAGCAGGTAAGAGCACTGACTGTTCTTGCAGAGAACCCAGGTTCCTTTCCCAGGACTCACATGGCAACTAACCATCTGAACCGCCAGTTCCAGGGGATCCAACGCCCTCTTCTGACCTCTGAGGGCACTGCACAACAAAGGTGCACTTACATACATGCAGCCAACACACTCATACACAAAATATAAATAAAAGGCCTAAAAAGTAGTTCTGCTTTGGGTCCACAAAATTTTAATCTCTTCTCATCTCTGGCAAGCACCAGTTACTGCATAGAGGTAAGATAACATCATTCCATCCAGCTATATGCATAAGAATGCTGTCCCTCCCAAATTAAGTACCTTAAAGTCTGAATGAGATACTGAAGCTTCGTTTCTAAAACTGTGCCCCAGTTCTTCCTTACTGTAACCAGAAAGATGAAGCAATATGCTCACTTGTAGGAAAAGCTAATGAAAACTGTCTTTAGTAGCAATTATGGTCCTGTTCTAGATATGATGCTATATGCCTTTATAAATGAAAGGGGGGAAAAAAACCTTCCTCGAGGTCTTAGTCTACTGACCTTAAAAGCATTAAGACTCTGTGTAGTACTCGAAGAAAACTTCTAACTCATCATAACTGACACAACTCAGGCACAAGGTATTCAAACTACAAACATAATAAAAAACTGATTTTCAAACATTTTATTGCACTGAGTTAGTTACATTTGAACATATCCAGTCCTTAACATAGTATTTGCTGGGTGTGGTGGTGCATGCCTTTAGCCCCAGCACTGAGGAGGCAGAGGCAGGAGGATTTCTGTGAGTTCAAAGCCAGTATGGTCTACATAGCAGTTCCAGGCCAGCTGGTGCTACAAGGAGACCCTGTCTCAAAAAATAGAAAAAAACAAAAAACAAAAACCCAATAAATAAATAAAAACATAATAAGCATTTAAACCCTATTGAAAATTGATTTTCTTTTCTAATATTTAAACCAGAGGCACAATGCCATTCTTGAAAAATACAGCAGTAAGGATTTCTGAGTTTCCATTGTTCTTGTTTTCTTTAATCTTGAATCCTTAGTCACAAATACGATTAAATATAAGGGGGAAACCACAGTAACCAACGGAATATTATGCTTCTCATCTGGACCAGGAAAAAAAAATTTTAATTGCTTTTAGCTGCACTATGGCCAGGCTTAAATTAAAAAAAAAAAAAAGTTAATACGTTAAATGCAGTAAAAATGTGATCAGCAGGTTGAGGTTAAAAACGTCACCAACTCTGGTAACCACATCTTTTCCAAAGATGCTCATCATCAGACACCGCTGCTAGTCCTAGGCAACCACGGCCTCTGATACCGGGAAAACCTTGCACGTCTCACTTTCTCCTGCCTTTCAAAACGTGAAGCACAGCCCACGGGGCACACACTTTGCTTCCAAAATAGTGGTCAAGTCCACAACGATCGTAAACTACACCGCAACTATTTCTAGGGTACGTTTTCTTCATTTTGGTCTCTCTGCTGTTAGTGAGCTACCATCTTTTTGTTCTAGCCAACCACCGTGCTTCCAAGTCTTTGGCACAAGCCATTTATCTTCACAGATATTTTTCTTCACAAAGGCCGAGGACTGGGCCTCAAAGGCGCTGCAAGCCCTCGACTTCCGAGGCCGACCAAAGCACTCACTTTCAAATGCGATCAGTGGGTCCAAAAGTCACAAGACTTGTTGCCCACGTCCCCACACCTAAGCCGCCTTCCCACCCCGACAGAGGAGCAGGAGGAAGGCGCCACCCCGAAACCTGTCGCTAAGGCGATCAGGAGCCCACTGCACTGGGCGCGCGGGATACAAAGGGCTGTGAACTCGGCCTTCCATGCGGCGACCGTGCGCGGACCGAGAGACAAAATGGAGCGACGGGAGGAATTGGAACCCAAGCCGCAGGGCCGGGATGGAGGCGGCGGCCGCGCGCCACGCCAGGGCTTCCCCTCAGGCGGGCGGCGGGGGAGGGGGCGCGGCGGCCCGTTCCCTCCGCGCACACGCGGCCTACCTCGGCGGGAAGAGCCCGCCGACCGCCGCCAACAATGGGGCGTGAGGCCCTGCTGAAGGAGGGGCCGCCGGCGGCTGCACGGAGGCCGGGCCCCGCGCTCCAGAGCCCGTGGCTCGCACGACGACGCGCGAGAACGAGGGGCGAGGGGGCGCAGCGCCGGACTCGGCGGCGCGGCCCAGAAGCGCCAAGGACGCACGGTCTGCACCCGCGCCGGCTCGCGGCCCGCGGCGGCCCGGTTCGGGGTCCAGGTCGGAGCGCCGTTTGCCTCAGCGACGGGGCTCCGGCTCCCGCGTACCTGGTTGAACTCTTCGCCCACATCCGCGTAAATGTCTATGTGGTCCACACCGTCCGCCATCTTCCCTCGGCCTCGGCCGCTGCCGCCGCCTCCTGCAGGTCGGCCCGCCGAGGCAGCAGCAGCGGATCTAGCTGCGGGGGCGGGGCGCGTACGTCACTTCCGAGGGACAGGGGCGGGGGTGGAGTGGGAGCGAAGGCGACAGCTAGGGAGCTGCAGACCTGCGGCCCGGGGCACTAGCTGAGTGGACAGGTGGAGGGCGGCTGCTGCTCTGTCGGCACTGGCTGGTTCTTTGTGTGTTGGGGTTAAGCCGGCCGGGCGAAGGGCGCAGTTTCCTCGTCCTACTCCACTATCCTCCATACCTGTGCGACCCGCAGGCTTCCAGAGACTGTTTCCAAGCGTTGCTTCTGGCCCACTTTACCTTTTCTGTTTTTCTTACGCGTTTCACTTCCCAAGGCTTCTGGAGGTGGGGGTCATGTGTCCACAATTAAATACAAAGTGTAATGCCCAGGGTGGTGTCTTAAGACGAGCAGAATTTCGCGTTTATCTTAATTTGCATAGTTCATGTTTGCATCTGTCATCACCTTCTTTAGCCTCTGCCCTCACCAGCTTCTTCCCTCCCCCCATTTCCCTTTATTTTTTCACCTTTAGGTCTGCAGTAGGTTTTCTCTGGCATAGTTCAGACGTTTCTAATTTCATTTTATAGCCCATACAAGGTAGAGGAATCTTGAGTCTAGGAGCTCTTCTTTTGGTCTTTTTATGACAGGGTCTCCCTGTAGCCCCAGCTGGCCTGGAACTTGCTATGTAGACCAGGCTGGCCTTGAACTCACAGAGATCTGCCTGCCTCTGCCTCCCGAGTGCTAGGATTAAAGGCCTGCACCAGCACACCCAGCAACTCTGGGAACTCCTGAAATCATAGAATGCTGAGCTAGAAGGGAAGTTTTAAAAATTGTTAGATGAAAACATCCCATTTTAAAGATGAGAGAACCAAGGCCTAATAGACCCTAGGGGACTGAACCAGGGTTGTGTGGTTTATAAAGGTAAAATCTTTTTGCTGAAAATACATACCATTATTCAAAGATATCCCTCAAGGCTGTTGAGATGAGTCAGCAGGTTAAGGTGCTAGTCACCAAGGCTGCCAGCCTGGGTTCAGTCCCTAAAACTCACTTGGAAGGAGAAAAATAAATATTAAAGTTTTCATCTGAGCTCTATAACTGCACCAGGGCACACACACACCCAACACACACAAACAAATTTAAAAAAAAAATTTTTTTTAAACCCACCAATTGCAGACTGGGCAGAAATCATGGATAAACCAAGCAACTCTGTCTTTGGTTTGATTGTAAAAGCTTGGTTACAGTCATGGAGACAAATCTGGTGATCTGAATACAAATCTGCACTTAGGCATTTAGTTTGATTCTCTCAAATTACTTTCATCTTCAATCTCATAATCTTTAAGAGAGTAGTAATACCTAGACACTGAAGTTGAAGGTTGATGAGAAGCTGTGAAAAGACTTCTCTGCTTCTTGGAAACCGATTTACTTTCATATGGATATTAGAGAAGAACGGACACTCAAAAAGTGAGGACTTTTTTTGGAACTTCAGTGTGATGGGCAGAATAATGATTGTGTGGTTTCCAAAACTGGTGAAAAGTAAAAGGGCCTTTGTAGTACCATAAAGGTAAGGGTCTTGAAATGGTACAATGTGCTTGACGGCCTGCTGGGCCCAAAGTAATCACAGGAGTCTCCTCATACATAAAAGCTAGAGGCAACAGAATGACAGAAGAGGCAAGAAGAGAAGCACTTTTGGTTCTTTGCACAAAAGTCTCTCCAAGGTTCTGACTTCTATTGTTGCTTATGAAGAGTCAGCTGTCTGGGGCTGCTCCTATTTCTTTGAAGGTGATTGGTCTTTTCTTTTTCTTTGGTTGCTTTTAGGGTGCTCTCTCTCTCTCTCTCTCTCTCTCTCTCTCTTTCTCTCTCTCTCGGGTTTTCTCTTTCAGCTGTGCATGTTTGAAAGAGGATTTCTTTCACTTACGATGCTTCCGTTCTACTGAACTTCTTGAATATTTGATTGATGTAGTTCATGAATTCTAGAAAATTCTCAGTACTAAGGATGGGGAGATGGCTCAGTGGGTAAAAGTGTTTATCACACAAGTATAAGAACCTGAATTTAAATCCCCAGGACTCACCAAAAAAAAAAAAAATCTGGCTGAGTAGTTTGAACTTCTGTAATACCAGTGCTCCTATAAGAAGATGGGATGCTGAGGAAATCCACAGATGTTCTCTGGTAAGTTAGCCTGGCTTATGCAGGAAAAAGAGAGAGTCTAAAAACAAGGTAGAAGGCAAAAACAACACCCAAGGTTGTCCTCTGGTCCTCATACCATGGCATGTTCCCACCTACCTACCTACACACACACACACACACACACACACACACACACACACGAACACAAACGTACACATCATATACACAAAAAAATTAAGAAATTCTCAGTATTGCTTCTGCCCCATGTTAGTTACTTTTCTTGTTTATGTGACAAAATACCTGACAGAAACAACCAAAGAAAGAAAGGATTTCTTTTGGCCCACAGTTTGAGGGTAGAGCCCATCCTGGTGGGGAAGGTGGCACTAGTTACAGTGATAGGAACACAAGGCCACACTGAGACCACAGCCAGGAAACACAGAGAGATGAATACTGATGTTCATCAGGCCCTCCTGCTCTGTTTCTCCTTTTACTGGGCCTGGGTACCCAGCCTGTGTAGTGTGGGTTTCCCCTTCTCAGTAAAATCCTCTGGAAATGCCCTCACAGACATGCCTACAAGTGTGTTTATAGGAGATACGAAAACTCATTGAAGCTGACTGAAGATTAACCACCATAGCCCCAATTTTTCCTTGTCTTCTTCTAGTTAAATATTAAGGGGTTTTTGTCTCCTATTTCTCTTATCTATTTAGAGATTTAGGGCAGGGCAGGGTAGGGTGTGCTCAAATGATCCTCTTCCTCAGCATTTCAAGTACTAGGACTACAGGCACTATCACATCTGGCAACAGTGCTTTTTCTCTTCATTTTCCATCCTTTTGCCTTTGTGTTTCCCTTTTCCTCTCTCCCTCCTCTCCATCTCTCTTCCTTTTCCTAGCCCCAGATGGCCTAGAAGTCGATATTTAGATCAAGCTGGCCTTGATCTCAGAGTGCCTGCCTCCACCTCCTGAGTGCTGGGATTAAAGGTGTGCACCATCAGGCCAGGTGTATTTTTTTGATAGCTTCTTTTCCTGTTATATATGCTAGATTACTCTCTCCTACAGTGTTAACTCATTTACGGAGATAGCAATTTTATGGTTTTGTAATTTGGGGTTCTAGGGTTTCTTGTTGATTCTTTAAAAAAAATTTTTTTTAAATTTCTGTGTATGAGTGTATTGCCTTCATGTATGTAAGTACACCTGTGTCAATGTAGTGCCCACAGAGGTCAGAAGAGGGTGTCAGATGCCCTGGAACTGGAGATACTGATGATTGTAAGCTGCCATGTGTGTGCTGGGAACCAAACCCGTGTCCTCTGCAAGAAGAGCCATCTCTTCAGTCCCAGATTCTTTAAAATTTTTTGTTTGATTTCATTTTTATAATATATAGTATATTTCCAGAGTTGTCAGTGTTGGCTTTTCTCCTGAATCACTTTGGTTTGCCTTTACTCTGGGGTGCTATACTTTTAAGTACTGGCCAAAATGTGACTTACTATAGTCATCACTGTTGAAAGGTCCTAGACTCCAAGTTTTTTTCCCCTAGAAGTCACGGCCAGGTCACAGTCCATCATTGAGGAAAGCAAGGGCAGGAACTCAAAGCAGGCACTTGAGACAGAAACTATGGTAGATGCTGCTTACTGCCTTGCTCACTGACTCAAGCTCAGCTTGCTTTTTCATGCAGCTCAAGTGCCCCTGCCTAGCGGTAGTGCTGCCCACACTGGCTGGGCCTTCCCACATCAATCATCAAATCAGAACAGTCTCTCAAAGATATTGCCATAGGACATTGAGGTTTCCTCTTCCCATGTGACTCCTGATTGTGCCAAGTTGACAAACACTGACCAGCACCAAAGTATTTTAAAAAGTCAGAAAGAAGTTGAAAAGGAGATACTGCTCTTCTAAGGCTTATGACACACCTGCTCTTTTCCGAAGATACCAAAGAGCTTCCTTTCTATTTTTCATCCATGTAACTGTGCTACAGTGAGAGGTACCCTCAGCTCCAGGGTTCAGATAATCACCATCCATGCCAGGCATGGTGGCACACACCTTTAATCCCAACACTCAGGAGGCGGAGGCAGGCAGATCTCTATGAAATCAAGGTCAGTCTGGTCTACATAGCAAGTTCCAGTCCAGCTGGGGTTACAGGAAGATCCTGTCTCCAAAAATAATAGTAATAGCAATAGGTTTGATGACATTTTCACACACACACACACACATATACTTTAATCATACACACACACACACACACACACACACACACACACACACACACCACTCTACACTATTTTGCATCCCTTCCTCCTCCTGCTAGTCCTTTTCTCAATTCGTTTCTTTTCTACTTTCATGTCTTTTTCTTTTGAATCTAGATCCCACACATGACATGAGAGAAAACATGCTATTTGTCTTCCTAAATCTGGCTTATTTTTATTTATTTTTATTTGATAATCACATGATTAGAAGAAGCATTTCATTACAACTTTAACATATTCAGTAACAATTTCCAGAGCAAGGATACATCTCTTTCAAAAGTGGCTGTAAATTTTTAGGTTCACAGTTGAATTAATACAGTTATACAATATTGAACTCAGTATAAAACTTGTAAGACATAAAATTGAATGAATTTTTAACGTTTAAAGAAGATCTTCATTTCATTTTAAAATGTTTCCTACATTTTTAATGCTACTAACAGATGTTTGCACATGTGTCTTTCATCTCTATGTATCTGATTATTACTAGACACAGTGGGTTGCACTGGGGTCCGTGGCACCTGAGTGTGGATATAAAGTCATCAGGTAGAATTCAATGATAATTCAATGATAATGATAATGATAATTCAATGATAATCACCTCTACTAGTTAACATGAAGTAAATTTTTGTGCTTCCTCCTCAAATAGGTCTTTTCTTTTTAAT